CGATAATTTTATTTTTCTCGATCTCGCTCATTTCTTTTTCACATCAGCCATCTTTCTTTTCTTTTCGCTCTTCAAATATAATCTCAACCATAACCATTTTGAGTTTTCTGTAACTTTTCACTTCACTTACCATAGCTTTTTCGACCAAAATGAAAATGTATACAAAATTGCATGCACTTATTTCATATCTTTAAATTAAAATTTTTTTTTCCTTTTCTAAAAACTTTAAAAATTATTGGAAATAATTCTCGTGAAATTTTTCTGCATCTAATCTATCAATCGTCTGCCTTCCTCATCGTTCTTTGCCGGTCTCATTTTTTTCCTCTACTACATGTTACAAAGATCCTGAGGAATGAAGACTTGTATCCGACACTACAACGGCAACTTCTTTCGTGATATACCTCAGTGATATTTATCTACAATACTAAAAATTGAATAATCATAATTTGACGCGCTAGTCACAAAATTTAAAGTTCTTTTACCTTTTGACTTTGACTAACAAACTGGGCAATGTGACGTATTTTATCACAGACGTGGCTGAATTGGCAAATTTTCGCATTATGTCTTTCTCAACCCTAGTATTTGCTTGATTAATAGTCCTTGTTTGGTTTCTATTCGCTGCAGTTTTTTTCTTTTTTGTGCGATTATTTATTAAGACGCAGTTTGCATGACATAATATCTACATTTTGATGATCAATACTTTCTTAATTGCATCACTTAGCACTTATCAACTAGCTCACTACTGCATGCATAAAGAAGATTGCGCATCAGGAGAATTGAGAATCGGTTTGAATGTTCAACAAAAACTGCAGAGTTTTCACTTTGTGACATATTTTACTCTGGCCGTACAATATACTCATTGAAGAATCAATACGCATTCATAAAAGAAAGTACCCAAGTTGAATAGCGTTGGATACAAAATAAAGCCAGCAGCCTTTTTAGCAATTCGTGCTTTGCCACAGATTTCGTTCGGCGAAGTAAATATCTTTCCCTTAAGTTTTAAGTTTATAAGCAAAATTTTTACATTAATGATTTGATCTCTGTTCGTAATTTTTTTGAGCAGTCAAAATGAGGTGTAAATTCGTAAACTGACTTCGAAAGGGTGGTTTTATAATTCGAAAATGGTGTTCAAATGAAAAAGCCGTTTTACACGGCATTTCGCTAGGTTGTGAATAATTTCTAAAAATTCATTATTTATTTATTTATTTATTTATTTATTTATTTATTCCACTTATACAAGAAACTCAACTAAAACAAAATGGCAGTCGAGTTCAATTGACTCTAAAGTAAATCTTAAAATTATTTAATAATAAAACTTAGTATAAGTACAATAAAACAAATAAGGAGGAAAAAAAAAAGCATGTACACAATTAGCATAGAGCCACGCCCACAACCGATACAGGACCAAATTGCAAGTGAACCCCTAAGCCACCGCAAACATAAGCTTGGCAACCGATAATTGTTAACAACAAATTAATTTTCGACTCATAATGACAAAATCTAAGGTTAAATCAGTTTAAGTACGACGAAGTAAATCGCGCTTGTTGAGCAATATTGCTTTAATGGACTTTAAAGAGTCCGTTAATGAGAATAGATGATAGACATCATTTAGGTTCTTGCAAACAACTCTGAGCGGGTTAAACAGTTCAAAGTTATATTTGCATTGACTAAGCTTTATCAACATAAAGTACCTAGAGAAGCGGTTAGGGACATTAAAGCAAATCTCACGAAGTAATGCGGGCGAATCAATTGCACCATTTATTAATTTGATTAGGAAGGAAACCCCAAGAACAAATCTACGTTTCTCGAGTGACGGTAAGGATAACAGAAGCAACCTATTTTCATAGGGTGGAAGAGGGGAAATCGGGTCCCAACCCAAATTCCTAAGTGCAAACAGCAAGAATTGCTTTTGTATAGATTCAATTGAACCAACGTAGCATCTATATGAAGGAGACCACACAACAGAGGCATACTCAAGAATAGGTCTAACCAAACACGTGTAAAGCCTTTTAGTAATATAAGGATCATCAAGCTCTTTGGACCACCTCTTTATAAAACCAAGAGCGGACCTAGCTTTGCTTAACGAGGACTCAATATGCAAATTGAAACGTAACCTATAATCGAATAGAACGCCTAAATCAATGAACGAATCGACGTCTTCCAACCTGTGCGAATCAATGAAGTATTGGGTACTAAACGACTTCCTTCTTAAGAAAGAAAGCTTCTTACATTTATTTAGATTTAGCTTCAGAAGATTGAGGGAGCACCATGCAACCAAATTGTTCAAATCACTTTGAAGATGATGTGATTGAGATTCTACGGAAAAAGAAGTAAACAGTTTCACATCATCAGCATACATTAAAATCTTACTGAATTTAATCACGGAGGGCAAATCATTGATGTAAAGATTAAATAAAATAGGACACAAGTGGCTACCTTGAGGTACGCCAGACGTCACGGGAAATTCATCCGAGGTAATGAGGTTAAACAAAACCCTGAATGATCTATCATACAGATAAGAGCTTAACCATTCAACTAAGAAGAGAGGAAAGCCAGAGGTCTGGATTTTAAATCTAAGAAGTCTATGATTAACCATATCAAACGCCTTGCTAAAGTCAGTGTAAATGACATCAGTGCGAGAACCACTAGAAAAAGCCTTGAAAACATGAGAAGTAAACTCCAACAGATTGGTCATCGTAGATCTTCCCTTTCGAAAACCATGCTGGAAAGGAGAAATATACAATTTCATGAAAAAGGCTATATGCTGAGCCACAATTCGCTCGAACAGTTTAGGTAAGACACTCAACTTGGCGATGCCTCTGTAGTTCTCTACAAGTTGCCTACTACCACTTTTGTGAATAGGAATAAGGAAAGAAGTCTTCCAACACAAAGGGAAAACACCTAAATTCAAAGACTTATTAAAAATCTTTGAGATAACATCACAAAGCTCGCCAGCACAAGATATAAGTACACATGAGGGGATGCCATCGGGTCCAGGCGAGCAATTATATTTCAGAGAGTTCAATCCTTCAAAAACGTCATTTTCCGATATAACAAAGTTAGGAATTGAAACCGAATTAGAAATCGAATATGGATAATTTTCCGATAAATCAAAATTGGCAGTTGAAAAGTTCTGTCAGAAGTATTCCGCAAAGAGATTTGAGGATTCAAAATCATCCGAGGACTCGGAGCCATTAAAAGACACAAACGACGGGTTTATGGAGATTTTTCTTTTGGAATTAACGAACTTAAAAAAGTATTTAGGGTTAGCAAACAAGGAGGAAGCTGATTTATCCAAGAAAACGAGGATTATTCAGCACCCCAAAGCTGTTAATTTCATTTCCTTGGATTTAGCCTGCTGCAAATGTAGTAACAACGCACACGATGCTGTCTTATTAGCCATATGAATTCCATTTTTGGGCATATTTACAATCCCGTGATTTTGACATCTGCGTTATGAAGGCCGTAGTTAGTCTTTTTGCGCCATTTGATTTGAAAATGGATGCAAATCTATTAATTCGCAGAGGGAATTAAACCCTTAACGCCTTATTAATTCAAGCAGTCTTATTCGTGTTGGCGGGAGACTTGGAAGGTCAACTTTGTATTAGCATATTTTCGAAATGCATTCGATGTTTTCATTTAAAGCCAGCATATCATGGTTAATTTACGTAGTGATCGTGTACTGTCTACCACAAACCTTTTAACTAGTAAAATTTATCTTTTGAGCCATACTATTACAAATCAGAAATGAGAAGTCTGCCTATTTCTAACGAAGATACACATTTAGAACCTGTTGCACTTTTATCTGCATCGTCATTTTAAGCAACTCCACGCTTTACTTGTAAGAGAAGCAAACCCAAGTTAAATATGTTAAATAAGCGTGACGTATCCAAACTGGCCTTCTCAATGATTCAAGGCTTTTCAATGGGAGAAAAAGTTCGCGGCACCTAAGTTTCAGTCGGACTTAGTTAGTATATATTTATTGTATATTCCCCGCAAAACATAAACACGTCAACTTCTAAAACCTTTGTTTCTCGCATCGTCCAAAACATTGTTCTTCATTTCTTCACGTTTCTACTTATTATACACATGTACTGGAGAAGAAAACTATGGTGGATGATTGTAGTCTAAATAATTTCTTTTAAAGTATCAGGTATAAACAAGACATAAAGCCGAATTTAACTAGTTGGTCGCGTTTCGAACCTACCGTAGAAGGAAGAATCGTATTTTATATATTCACATAAAAGCCACACATATTCACACAAGCACATTCGCTAGCACTTTCGTGGCATTGATATATTTGAAAATCATTAGAACTTAATTGGAAGATGAAGCGGTTTGATTTAAATCTCTTTAAAATCCTGTGTTTTTGAAATCTGTTGGCGTGAAAAAATTCATAAACCTTAATTACCTTTACGAAGCGTTATGAAAGTCGATGAGAGTTTAATCAAGGTTCCAACGGTCAGCTCTGCAAATCGCCATTAATAGTTCGGTATATGGTGAACTAATTAATTTCCATTCATGAAAATATTATTATAGCTTAGAATAACCGTGAGAGTATAGTCAAACCATCGATAAGAATAAAAATATTCATAGATGATCTCCTAAAAATATCGTATTCATTTACAAGAAGAACCGTAATAATTTAATACAGTATCTCTAATGATATTTTCGTAAATGATTTTATAATTTTAATTATTGCTTCAATTAATTATAAATCCTATAATACCAACTATGCCTGACTTACCTCTCCTTTGCGGGAAAAATCTCAGTTTTTAAGGATATTTTCGCTTTCAGTAATTTTGCGCTTAGTAAATGGTTATGTATACAAAACTACCACGTAAATTCAGTTTTCAAAATCACACGATCTTGCTGCACAGCTGCAAAGCAAGCTATATGTGCAATATTTAGTTTAGTTTACATCATAACAATAACGCTCGCAGTATGCATGGGTTCAGATTTCAACGTTGTAAATGTAAAGCACATTTTGTTTCTTACAGATTTGCGCACTGCATTTGATTTACTAGATAGAAATCGCGATGGTTGTATAACAGCAAGTGAACTACAATTCATGCTTAAAAATTTGGGCATAAAGATAAAAGATGACATCATATATCATCTCATACGAGAAGCTAGTCATTCGGGTAAGAAAATCTATACCAGTTTTTAATATAATATAGTTTAATCTGGTAATAAAGTCAACTAACCTGGCTTATATATTACTTGGTAAACTTATCATCATTGGTGCTTGTAAAGTTAAGTATTAATTGCTTAATTACCAAAAATGATCAGCGAGAAAGAGAATGGCGCAAGTATATTTGAAAACCCATATTCTCGGACTCGATGTATACCGAAATACCAGCCATTTATCGCACATACATACTTTTTACTTTTATTAATTTTTTATTTACAGTGCCGTATTCTAACGTTGTTAAGAGTCTCAAGAGAAAATAGCCCGTTTTATCGTCATAGCTTTTGCAGATTTGAATGAAATTTGGTCACAATAAAATTTTCCAATTTCGATTCTGTTATAAAACAGGGTGTTTAAGTCGCGAAAACCGCAAACAAAAATTGTTTACGTGTATGATGTTTCTTAGAACAGGGCTTGGGCTCACTCTTTGTTTTCCTTTTCCTCTACTTTTATAATTATCTATGTTAGATTTATGTAAATTCTGCAAAGAAAATATACAAATTTGTTTTCATTTAAGGCCAAAAACTACGCGGGTAGATTTGAAAGTGTGTTCAGAAATCTGCCTAGAAACCTTCAAACCATCTATCTGCACTGTTGAATTTGATTAGCCCGTACGATTGTCAAAATGTGTACCTTCCATTTAACTCAATAATACTTCTCGTTATCTACCTGAGTGCGCAAGCCGTTTTAAGGAAAACAAATAAGAAAATTAAATTCGGTCAGTAACGAATCTTTTACACTCATCACCGTTTACCCCAAAAAAAGACAAAAGAGGGATAAGAAAAAAATTATCATGCTCTATAATATGGAGTGGCCGCAGTTGATTTTCACTATTTTCAAAATTAAAGTATTTGTCGTATACGCATGTTGGCGTTGCAGGCGTGTCCTTTGAAAAGTTTAGCTCAATTCCAAATTCTTTTGCAAATTTGTAGACGATATCTTCATTTTCGTTAACGGGAGAATGTTTGCCACGAATACCACAAAATTGCGCAAACGCACAGATGGACGGACGAATAGAGGGACATGTTTAAGTGTATTCGAAATTTGAAACTGAATTTATATAGTTAAAGAGATTTTTGAAGCTTGTTTCTGCGCGTTATAAAGGTATTGAAAAAGTAATTAAATTTTGATACACTATAGTATTGGGTAGGCGTGATAAATTCTTTCCATTTTTGTAAATAAATGATACAGTATCGCAAACAGAATATGCGCTCAAATTTTTGTACATTTATTTGCTACAGCTCATGAGTAATGAGCAAAAAAACAATCTTTTATTCCTTTTGAAAACCAGAGGCTTTCTCAGTTTAAGTGGTGCTGTGAGCGTGTCCTTCGATTTAGCCCATTTTCAATACCGTATGAAACATGCGTGAAAGAACTTACAAAGTTTCTGCCAAACTTGAAGTCAATAGCTTCCTTTTTGCGGCAAGGAGAATGTTTACAACAGACATTATATTGAAGGACAGACGGTTAGACGGATGGACGGATAGACGGTTAGATTGGTGGACACACAGACGGACATGCTTAAATTGATTTAGAATTGATGCTGATCAAGAATATATATACTTTGTGGGGTCTCTGATGCTTGCTTTTGGGCGATGCAAACGTTTTGGCAAAATGAATATTCGGTGATGGGTATAAAAAAGTTCATACATGGAGGAAATCTTTGGAGATAAGACCTTCATGAGCTTTATGCCTATACGTAAAGTTTGTCGGAAGATTCTTCAGAGGGAGAAGAGATCCTCCGCAGACTTTGACATTCTGTAGGACGGAAACACGACATTTAATTATGAAATGCCGCAATCTTTAAAAATTTAAATAAACTCTTTTGTTTTATTAGACTTTATTGCATGAATGAAAGTGTCCTTACTTAAAATAATGAACCTAAATGAATTTTGTGTTTTGCAAGCAAAGATTCCTATTGAATTTAATAGGACCGCACAATTGTCTTTTGCGTCATGGGCCTGTGCGCGTACGTTTAGTTGAAACATAAATTCCTGAAAATATTAAAAAAGAATAATTTTAGATGATAGACGAGAGAAAATGGGATAGATAGATAGATGGATAACGATAGAGAGAAGATTTCCACATTTGAAAACGTGATATCTTAATATGTTATTATCCGCCTACAAACCTTTTCAAAAACGTTCCTAAATTCTTTAGATGCAACACAATTATTAGACGTTTCTCTACTTTTATACTGGATGAGAGAAATATGACCTGTCATCTTTCTTTAGGCATTTAGGCAAGGTTCTTTAACAATTTGCCCTCAATGTCTTGTGTATGTTTGCAGTAGCATATGCAATTTAAATATTAAAATTTCCGGCGTTGGTTTGAGTACTTTACATAGTTATACTAGACCGTAAGTTGTCATACATAGTAATAGGACACATGTGACTATAAGTACAAGTGAAATATTAATTATTGTCATACAATATGTTACTAAGCATACTACAGTGTAGGTCTAAGGTGATTTACATTTTTTAATAATATTTATTAGCGTAGCGGCCAACTTTTAAATTGCGTAATCGATAGGCTAATAAAATTGCGGTAAGCTCTTCACGTATTGTGCTATGTTGGGCCTTTACTGCTCTAAATTTGATTTTGAAGGTTCACGCGAATCCCTTTGCCTACTCATTCATACACGATTAATAAGCAGTGCTTTGTTTGTAAAAAGTAACGTCCCAAGCTTTACGTCTGGAATTCATTAACATCAAACTTCATAATATGGCTGAAAGGCATGGTAACTTTTTAGAAGATGACAAGAAGGTTTATTGTCTTACTGTCGGTAATTGGACATAAATATATCAGTTTTCTTTTCTAGCTGACTGTACATTTGTTGAAAATCTTTCGACGTTCAGAAGGCAAACTGGGTTGGTTTCTTTGAATCTGGCTTAGTCTTGCCACTGTGCTTACGGAGTTAGCAGCAACAGTCAGAACCAAAGACAACGGCGGTTAAAACCGCGTTAACATAACGTCTGCTTCCAGCAATCATTTAATCTCTGTTAAAGTAAATGCAATATTACTATGTAATAAACGATTTGATAGATATACTATCTGGCCAAGATTTTAGAAAAACGGATCATAATAGTTCATCAGGTCTAAGACTACGCGTTACTACTTGCCTGTTTCGTAGATTGTACAGCACCGGGTTAATTTTGCAATAGTTTTTACCTTTTTCATATCCTTTTTACCTATTTTATACCTACAGTACTAAGTATGGTCTCGAAAAAATGTTGGTTTATTCGTACTTACTCGCATATTGTGCATATTTAATCTTCTAGATAGTGCTATCTTTTATAAGATACTCTCTTTTATTTGAATTAATTAGTTCAATTTCCATGACGCCCAACAGTGAAAAGACAATTCACCTAAATTTTAGAAACTTAGACACCATTTTTGTGTTAAGTACGGCCTGGTTTGACAAACCTTAAATCTTTTCTGGTGTGGGAGAAAACAATTTTGAATACTCTTTTGGCATCACCTTGTGTTTTTATGGACAAATTAGTTATTGTTCACCTTTTTTGATTTACCATATCCATTCTTTCACATTGAATTGGAATTCTTCTTATTTTGTCGCTACCTAACTAAACAACGAAGTTTTGTCAGTAGAGTAACGCATTATACTAAAGACCATCAGTGAAATCGCTGAAGCGGTTCATTTTCTGGATGCGTAGATTCTGGTAAATATTTGCTTCGTAGCATTTGACCCCAAGCGATTCCCCTTTCGTACTATATCCTACCTTCGTAGATATCCCAAAGTTGTTCGAATTGGACGCAGTGAAAAAAGACTTCCAACATGACTATTAAGCAGTTTGGCTTTGTATCAACTTCCCACCGAATATCTCCGGCTGCTGCCCTTACAATGGAAACCACTTCTTGAAAAGCATTTACGGTCGATTGCTTCGCTTTTCGCCTACCGATCCAGTTATTGGCAGTGATAGGTGATGACACATTAGCCCTTCCCAAATTTTTCCAACGGTATCTATTGGACGTATCGGCATTATATGGACCCATCTAGTAAGTCAAATATCTGGTTGTCAAGAGAGCTTTTCCTTTTGATATCAACTCTATACGTTCAAATGCATCTTCTTTTCAAATGTAATAGAATGGCCATCTAGGGGATATGGTTTCTGCAACAGTGTTCACAAACGTAGGCTCCGAGGGCCGGTTAAATTTGTTGCTAACTATATGGCTTTTTTAAGCTTTGGGTGCTTGTTCTTCTTGGCGACTCAAGTACTCCACGCTGGTTATAAACGTTTGCTAAAGCTTGCTTGTTCGGTTACATTTCGGTCATAGCGTAACTATTTCCTCGTGCCACCTACAAACGGACTTACGAAATATCGGTTGACCTCCTCATTATGTAACTATCATACCACTCTTAAATTTTTTGGATCAAGCTCATTGTCATATTATTTATGGATACTGTCTGTTCTATATCTCCTACGATTATTTGAAAAAGCTTTTTATCGAAGTTATTGGCCATCTATCGTGCTTAGCGTAGGATTTTCAGTTCGCTGGTTCTAAACGTCTGAATCTTAAGGAAGTGCAAGTCTATAGTCAATGTGCGTGTTGATGTTGGATGTCATTTCAGTTCTGCGCATAAGGTGCTGTTAACGAAGGTAAGGCCTGCCCGTATCTAACTTTGCTGAAACGGTATGTTCAGAGACTGTAGTTGAGAGGAAAATCCCGTGGGCGCGCAGGATTGCCTTTGCTTTTAATAAGAATCTGTAGATATGGCGAGGCCTAGAAAATAGATCTAAATGATCCAAATTTTCAGCAGTTCACCTTTACGCTGATTTGCTACTACGGACCACTTTTCATCGTAAAATATTAACGATTCGATTTTTTGGCATAGAGTTGGTTGTTTATCTTGATATAACCTAAAAAATTTGGAAGGCGTTCTACGAAAGGGACTCAAAAAATTACATCTATAAGAGGTTACCTTAGATCAAT